GAAATGAAAACCAAGGAGGGCCAATAGCAAAGCCCAAATGTCACACCAGAACGACCTCCACAGGTGCTACTCCAACTCACTGCGGTTCAGTCCTTTCCAACTCTCCCCACCTCCCTCAGGCTGACCTTTCTTCCTCCTCGATACTGGATTCCAATCGCTTTATGTCACCAGAAAAATGCCACATAGCTTTGCCATTGTCTGTTCCGTCCTGATGTTAGCTGGTTACTGATCACCTTTGGAGAACAATACTTTTCCACATAAAGTAAGTGCTAATGTTGCCAATGTTCTGAGCTAGAGAATGAAATCATCAGGGGCAGTATTCCAATTATAGGATTCTCCTTGGAATCTCACTTTTGGACATCACCAAGTTAACTCTGACAATCTCAAAACAATGACCAGTGTTTTCTTCCATTCACTGTTATAAATGCAAACATGTTGTAAGAGAATAGTTAATGCTGTGATCTGAACTAATGGATTTGGGTAAAAAGTGGATTTTATTGTCAAGTAGTGAAAACAAAAATGAAAAAAGGAGGGAATATTAATTTCCTATACAACTATAACAGAAAACAAAATTTAAATAAAAACTTTTCTAAACATTTATTCATGCCAGTGCTATAGCCTTTTTTGTTGTTGGTTGCCATCAAGTAGGAACCAACTCATAGCTGACCCTGCAGTAGGAGATTGCCTCCTTTTCCCATGGAGCAGCTGGTGGATTCAAACTGCGTGCCTTCAGGATTGCAGGGCAGCTTCTTACCATTATGTCACAGAAGCTCATAGAGCTATAGTAGCCATTAGGAATAGAATGTTGAATTAGGACCGGACTCTTGTTCTCTTGACTAACTATCATGATATATATTATGATAGTATTAAGGTCAGGATGCAAAGGAAGCAGATGTTCCAAAAACCAAAAGGGCCATGAAGGGAGGCTTTCAGAAGGCCAGGACACTTCAGCTTCTTCAGAAACATAGCAGGAACATGGCATTCCAGGCAAAGCAGTATGTGGAAAGGCACAGTCAGCATCAAATAATTGGCTGGATTAACCTAACAGCAAACAAGGGAAGAGGAAAGCTCAATTACTGTATTTTTGAGTCATTTAAGAGTTTACTGAAACTTAAGTCAAGAGGAATAGATGTTCACTTATTCACAAAACTTCCATTATTTTGTGCTGCACTTTAAAAAAAATGTGCTATTTACTAACAAATTTATTTAATTCCTTATTTATATTGCTCCAAATTAACACACTACCAGAACTACTATCCTGTGCATAAACTGTTCAACAAATCGAGTGCATGTGGCAGGGAGGGCAAACGGTTCCTCCTATTCAAGTATTAAAAATGTCGATTACAAAAATGCTCTTTTGAGACCTGTTATGCATACAGAATATGTAAAACATTTTGTTTTTAAGCGGAGCTCTAATGAAATAGCCCATAGGGAGTTAAACTGTTAACCAGGAGCGACATCTTTTTGGTCTGTAAAATCCACCAGTTCTGTGGGACAAAAAAAGGGCGCTTTCTTCTCCTGTAAAAGACTCCAAAAACCCGCTGATGGAGCAACTAGGGTTAGTTCCAATTCAAATGTGATGAGCTATCTAGTTTTAAAAACTGTTAACAAATGAGTCATTACAATCTCTATCAAGAAATAGAATGTTTCCAGATCTAGAACTGCATGTCTTTCCCTATCACAAATGTTATCTTGACTTCTAGAATTATCATTTCCTTGCTTTTAATTATATTATTGCAATACAAGATAGTTCTGCTTTGAAAATTTTGCATTTGAAATTTTAATAAACTGTTTTACTTCTTGTTCCTCATATTCAAGTTATGTGTAGCTCTAAACATGTTAATTTCTATATTACACCAGATTCTTCGCTACTGATGAACATGTTTCCAGTTTGAAACACACACACACACACACACACACACTTATAAAGCCAAATAGTTTCTCAGAGACTGTGCATCTAATGTTATCATAAATAGCATATATAAATACATTTCTGTTGCTCCACAACTCAATACTTGGCATCCACCAGAAAGGCTAAAATTTAAAAAGGAGTGTCTTTTAACACAGACAGCATCTATTAAAGCATATTCTGAGTCAGAAATTCCATTCCTAGGACCTACCCCCCCAAAAAAAAACATGTACGTGTATCACAGGAGAGAAATAAAAAGTGTAAGCACGAACCTAACAAATGTAATGAAACCTAAGTGCTCAGGCTGTTCGTTCATAGGGTCGCTATGAGTCATCTACGACTTGACAGCATTAAACAACATGAAACCTCATGTCCACCAAGAGAATGGTTATACTATATTGTTACTGTGTTGAGGCGACGCATAGTGACCCTATGTACAATGGCTCTGAACTCTGTCCTATCTTGAGCAAATCTGTCTCCAACATTCCTAACCCCCATTACTCCAGATACTGTGTCAATCCACCTCATCCAGGGTCTTCCTCGCCTGTGCTGTCCCTCCACCCTTCAAGCATCATGTCCTTTTCCAAGGACTAGGGAAAAAAGGAACTATACAACTTTGTAAGTAAGGAAAACCTAAATTGAAAGAATTTGTTCCAATTTGTATTTTGTAAATAAACTAGTAGGGAAAATATATGAAAAAAGTTAAGGAGCAAAAATAAATTTAACAACAAAGAGCTAAGGGAAAGGGGAGTAGGTTAGAAGGGGGTTTGAGGCTTCTATGATGCAAGTCATACCCATTTTGAACCAAGAGTTCTGAGAACTTTCGGCATGGCTTTATCATGGGTAGAGCCTTGTGTCAAATGAAGATCCTTGTAGTGGCAGAAACCCAACTGAAACCAGTTTAACTGAAAAAGGAAATGCACTAGTTTAAATATCTGATAGGAGAGGGGAAGTTACACTGCAGCTACTGGTGGTGTAGTCTGTAGGGAACTGCATTGACCTAAACGCGGTGTCTCTGGCAGTTTGAATTCAATACCAGCTCTGAGAGAAAGATGGACAATCTCCTTCCACGTGAGTGAACAGCCTCCAAAATCTACTGGAAGTCACGTATGAGCCAGTTCCCATGTGACAGAAATGAGGTCAAGCTGCCACAAGGCAATCAAGTCTTGGTCTTCCTCATGGTCTCTCATGTCTGCTTCATATGGGTCTTATCCTGTCAGGCAGTCAGGCCCACATACCCATCTTTAGATACAGATGTACATACATACACACAACAGTGGTACACAACACTAATAAATATACATGTGGTGTTGTGCAATATTGAGTTTGAAGTGATCAATAGCTGGCATTTCAGCGGGTTTTCGGAGGCAGTGAATCTCACAGGAGACTGCCCATTTTTCTTTTATGGAGCAGCTGGTGGATCTGAGCTATGTTCACCAGGTTGGCAGTGCAGCTCCTTACCACTAGGCTGCCAAAGCTCCCTATATGTGTGTGTATACAGAGCTCTAGGGGCTTAGTTATAAAGAGATGCACTGCCAACACAAAGGCAAGCAGTCAGAATCCACCAGCTGCTCCGTGGGAAGATGGGTAATCTCTTCTAGGACAATTTATTGCCTCTGAAAACCTGCTGGATAGTCTCTCTGACCTCAGGGTCAGTTCCAACTCTATGGCACACATCACCGTAACAACATAAACAGAGGGAGTTCTGGCAGCTTAGTGGTAAGGAAGAAACTGAGCTGCCAACACAAAGGTACACGGTTTACTGCCTATGAAAATCCACTGGAGGGTCAGCTATGAATAGATTCAGACTCGATGATACACTAGGCTATGTGTGTTGTTATATGTTGTCACATCGACTATAACTCATAACAACCCTATGCACAAATAGCTCTGAACCCTGCTCTATCCTGAGCCAATCTCTAGCACACCTTCCCTTATTACCACAGTTATTCTATCAATTCATCTCATGCAGGGTCTTCCCCTTCTGTGCTGTCCTTCGACCCTTCTAAGCTTGATATCCTTCTCCAAAGACTGGTTCCTCCTGGCTACATGCCCAGAGTACGAGAGACCAAGCCTCAAAATTCTTGCTGAGCTCTACTCATAATGACCCTCCACTAGGTTCCTGAAGCTATGAAAAGACTGCCCATCTTTCTCCCTAGAGTAGCTGGTGGATTCAAACAGCAAATCATTTTTTAAAAATTTGAATACATTGTTTTTCAAAACTAACAGTCTGACAGTTTATGGACCTTCACAAGTATTGCTAACTATAAAGATGAGGTAAGTGGAGAGTTTGCATGAGAGAACATCTGACTGTCTGACATGGAAAGAAAAGAAAATATATACATATATATATATGTAGGAAACAGAATAAAATTCTTTTTTTCCATTTTCCCATGAGCCATGGCAAATCAAATCAGTAAAATAATTGACACTTTTATTGAAAATAAACAAAACCCCACCATTATCTACACCTCTTCCTATTAAAGCAACCAAGCTGCTCTTTAAGTCTCTAAATACTTATTAGGAAGGGAGACTGGTAAGTTTCCGATCAGGGCTGACTCCAGTATCTCCCCTTAGACCAGCTGCTACACTATTTAGGCCAAGTATAATGTGGTTAAAAAGTTACCTAGACAAAAAAGAACGATGCACATTTCGCACTTTTAATACAAATTTCAGAATATAAAACACAACTACATTCTCTATTAGTTTAAATCTATATATTTTAATAAAAAATTCAGTATTTATGAAACAAAGCAGCTCCTAAAACAAAATCAACATAGTTAATGGTGGCGGCAGAAACAATTTTCTTCATTAAGCACTTACAGTAGGGACTTAGTGCACTATTACAGCTGCTTGGCTACAACTAAGAATGCAGTATATTGATAAGTGAATATTACATACATTTTTACATAAGTTCAGTCAAATATTTAAGGTAAAAGGGATTTTTTATCTGAACCTAAACTGAAAGTGAATTTTTACATTTACAAATGCCCTTTCAAAGCACTGTTAACACTTCCTCTTTGCTTTTACATCGCCAGCTGAAGGAGTAACAAGTTTTCTGTCCTATATAGATCCTTCTGTTGAAGCACCATCAGTCATCTTCTTTTTCAATGTAGGTCTTTGTATTAACCCGTGCCATCTGCCTGGCCAGGTACCTTTCTCTAGCGGACATAACCGTCTCTTCACTGCTTCGCTTTGCAAATTTGCTCACTGGCTCAGGCAATCTCACCTGTTCTCTGCCCTTTTCCTGCCCTTCCTCGGTGATTCTGTGTTTTATTCCAAGTGAAGTTTCAGGACTGGAGGGTCTCTCCTCGTTCCTTTCTTTGTCCTCTTCCATCTTGGTGGATTTTTCCTGGTCAAGCAAACGGTCTTTTCCTCTGAGGCTTGGGCTACTTTCCTTCCTGTTTCGATTTCTTTCTGATGATTGAATACTTGCTTCTTGTCTTCCCCTATCTCTGAATTTATCACTATTTTCATCTCTTTCTTTTCTTCCTTTCACATGCTCTTCCTTTGGTTTACTTTTCTCTTCTTTCTCACTGCGTCGAGTATGATCATTTAGCTGTCTGTCTCTCTCATGTTCTCTTGGGATATATTTCTCCCTTTTCCGTTCTCTGTCATGTCTTTCGCTTTGGTCCTTTCCCCTGGGTTTACCTTCATGTTCATGCCTCTTCCAGTGTGAGTCTCCATGACTGACCTCTCTATGGGAATCCTTTTCTTTTCGATGATCACGGTCAGTGTGATACTTCTCCTGGTGCCGAGACTGTCTTTGTTGATGCTGATCTTCCCTTTTCTCATATTCTCTTGACTTGGAACTTTTAGCATGATGTCTGGCACTGTGTCCTCTTTCTTCACTAGATGACCGTGAGCGGGTTTGAGTCCTGTGATGTGCAGGGTCATTCTCAGAGGATTCTGTGCTTTTCCCCGTTGTTTTCCTCATGCTATGATTTTCTTCGTCCTCACTACTATCAGCATCAAAGTCACTGTCTGCATCTGGGTTTTTCTCTGTCTTTATAGCAATTTGGAGACTGGATTTATCATCTGGTCCTGTGCTCTCTGAATTCACTTCATCAGAATAACCTCTTGACTTCTCTTCCTTTATCCCAGACCTTAAAAAAATTGTAAAACAAACAAAATATGCCACATTACTAACTGTAAAATACTCAGCCTTTTTTAATACTTGTAATTCATACTACAGAGTTATGCATTTGGGCTTCCCAAATGTTAAAAGACACTTATGTCTAGTAATTGTGTAAATATATGTGAACTAGTATTTTACAACACCATTCAAACTATTATTCTCTTTTTCTTACAAAATTATTTTAACAATGCTGAAAATACACAAAAATAATTTCTTCAGAGTAAAATGGTGACAAAACCCAATTCTACTTAATAATCTCCTTCAAGATTGCAACATTACCAGTAGTTTTTGGAACCTATCACAAAAAAGGGTTTTTTTTTTGTTGTAAGGAGAGACAGGTCTTCAGAGAGGGACATCATGCTGGGTAGAGTAGAGGGACAGCGCAGGAGGGGAAGACCCTCTATGACGTGGATTGATTCAGTGACTGGGGTAATCGGGATGGATGTGTCAGAGGCAATGAGATTGGCACAGGACAGAGCAGGGTTTAGATAGGGTCGCTATGAGTCGCAAACGACTCAACGGCACATAACAACAACAACAACATCATAAAAAAAAACAGAAGCACAAGACTTAAAGACAATCAACTATTAAAATAAACATTTACTCAAATTTTCTACATTTTTCAAGATGGTAAGTATATTTTCTTTAAATCACATATAAGTTTTGTCTCATAAATAATTTACGAGTAATAGTAGTATTGGAACAATCCTCTAGGAACTGCATTACTGCAATCTAAGAAGTAAAGGTATGTGTATGCTGTTTCATGGCTGGCCTCACTCCAGATGGAACTCTTTAGCAGAAAAGTAATAATGGTTTCTTTCCATCTACAATCTGAATCTTGAAATATATTTTGCTCTTCTCACTCTTAATTCCAAGTCACACATCCCTTTTCCTAGCAACACAGATCCTTTTAACAGAATAAAGTAGAATGTTTCTACCCCAAAATAAAAGCCTGCTTAGATACAGGTTTCAGACAAATTTTCCCTTCAACTATTTAAGTGTGGTATAGTCATCTAACTATTCCTATAAAACGTTATCATTTTCTTTCACTATTTCGTTCCTTTTTTAGACCTAAACTATCCAACAAGTTTCTGCAGAAATGGAAATAACCATGGATCTGTGGTGCTGCTCAAGACTGTACGTAGCCACTATCAAAACAGCTTTGAAAAGTGTGTCCAAAACTCTAGATTTTATGAGACCATGAGCTACCATAGGATTAATTAAAACAGTAGTTAAAATAATGAATAACATCCTTCTAAATCCAGTTATGTGTATTTTACATTTCATGGCAGTTCCTATTTATCACAACAAATAACTTTCCTTTTTATTATCCGAACAGGCATGTAAAATTAAATTATGTGATTTCTGATTCTTTACAGATTTTTCAATCTGTAAGAATTCTCAGGAGAATAATTTTGAGGCATTAGGAAGATAAAGAACACTCAAAGGGACTAAAAAAAAAATCCATAAAAAAGTTTATAATTTGGTTGCCCATCTTACAACTATAAACTATTCTGATATTCAGAAATTTTTTACACTGCTAAAATTCTTTGCCTTTTACAGTAATGTTACACTTCAATCACTGAGACTATGATAATGTAAATTGTAGTATTTTCATGAATTCTAGAATAAAAATTACTTTGAAATGAATCTGATGTTTTATGACTAAGAAATGCTTGCAAACCCCTAGGTACTGATTAAATTAGGTAAGGTCTGACACACAATGCAATCTACAATGTGCTACAATATCCCATCTTTCAGTGGATTAATGACTTCTGAACAAGAGTCTAGGAACAGGGATCTTCTATTTCACATCTTACCTGGCTTCTCGAAAGCTGCTTTGGGGTAATTCCTCTTCACCAACTGTTTGATTTAATAAATGCCTATAAAATCCACTGAGGTCTTTTTGCTTGGTTACATCCAAACGTGCTAAGAGAGGGAAAGCAAAAATAATCATATGTTTAACAAGGCACAATGCAGTTTGGCTTCACAGCAGTGTTTATAACAAGCACAGTGTATAAACTATTTTCTAGATTAGGAGTTGTTAAACTATGTCTGCAAGCTAAAGTTAGTCTACTGCCCATTTCTGCAAATAAAAAAGTTAGCCTACTGCCCATTTCTGCAAATAAAGTTTTATTGGGACATAACCGTGCTCACTCAAGCTACATTAATATCTACAACTGCTTCTGAGTTACAAAAGCAGAGCTGAATAGTTGCAACAGAGACTTTATAGCACACAAAGTTTAAAATATTATCACTTCCCAGTAAAATGGTGGACTAGGCATATAGGAGGCCATATCCTCTTCAACCAAGATATCAGCAAACAAAAATAGCAGATAAAGAGGGTAATTCTGAGCACTGAGTTGAAAAGGAAAACATAAAGATGAACTTTGAACGTGAACCGGGAGAAGAAAATGGTAAAAAAACTGTCAACAGTGCAGCATGGCCATTTTGAACTACTGTCTGGCTGGCAAAGGAATTCAATCTAATCACAAGAAGGTGTCTTTATGATTATTGTCTAATGACAAGAAGGATGCAATCTCCTCCTTTTATCACCAGACGCTCAACAATAAGCAGTAAAAACCAGGTTAGGAGCTGAATGCAGAACTGACCATCAATCCCTGTGTCGAAGTTCAAAATGAGGCTGAATATGTCTTGTATTTCGTTCTTTTGTTGTATTGCCCTAGGAAATACTTCAATATAGTATTGAATAGAAGTGGTGACAGTTACCATCCTTGTCTTGGCCCTGTTCGCAAGAAGAATGCTTTTGGTCTTTCTCCATTGAGAATGATATTGGTTCCTAGTTTTGCATACATACTTTTCACTATGAATTGATCAGAAAGACCTGATGAATGGCCTGAATCAGACACATCTTGGTCCTCAAACTGACAGCATTACTCCTCAATAATTTGGAGAAGTCTTTAATGGCAGACTTTCCCAGTGCAATGCATCTCCTTAATTCCAGACTGCTGGTACCAAAGGACATAATTGTGGATCCAGGTAGGATGAAGTTGATGACAGTTTCAATCTCTTCTCCATCCATCATGATGTTGTTGATTGGTCTGGTGGTAAGAATCTTTGTTTTTTTGACATTAGGATGCAATCCATACCAAAGGCTGCATTCCCTGATCTTCTCCAACAAGTGCTTCAAGTCCTCCTCATTTTCACAAGCAAGTTGTGTCATCTTCATAATGCAGGTTATCGATGAGTCGCCCTCCAATCCTGATGCCACATTACTCTTCATAGAGTCCGGTTTCTTGAATATTTGCTCAGCATACAGACTGAATAGGTATGAAGAAAGAATACAACCCTAACACACTCTCCAATTTTAAATCATGCAGTGTTTCCCTGCTCTGTCTGCACAACAGCCTCCTGGTCCAGGTATAGGTTTCACATGAGCACAGTTAAGTGCTCTAGTACTCCCATTCTTTTCAGTGTCAGCCACAACTTCTTATGATCCACAGAGTCAAATTCCTTTGCATAGTCAATAAAGCAAAAAGAGACATTCTTATGGTATCTTTACTTTTAGCCAGAATTCATCTAACATCACCAATGATATCCCTGGTCCCACAGGAGTTGCAGATTAAAAAAAAATCAAAAGACATGTTGCACTGGGGAAATCTGCTGTTAAGGGCCTCTCTCCAAGGACATCAGTTGAGATCATGGTATTTTCAACTGCTTCCTATGTTTTCGAAAGTTGGACAATAAATGAAAATGACAGGAGCCTTTGAATTGTGGTTTTGGTGAAGAATATGAAATATATCATTCACTGTCAAAAGAAAAAAACAAGTCTGGCTTGGATGAAGTGCAATTAGGATATTCAAGCTAGTAAAACTCGGTCTCATATACTGTGGCTATGTAGTGATGAGGGGACAGTCCTCAGAAAAAACATACTGCTGGGAAAGTCAGAGAAAGAACAAGATACAGTGAAAAGGGACAGATGGATGAAGGGATGCATGGATGGACGGATGGTTGGATGGGTAAAGTAACTAAGGAGGGCATATTATAAGGCAAAATGCAACAGACAGCAACAGTATCCAGTTATACATATAACTCCTACAGCTTAACCCACCAGGTAAGACTCCTGCTCCACCTGACCAATGAAAGACCACAACCAACACCAGCCCTTTCTGCCCTCATTGGTCCTATGAAAATAGTGAACATAGGACTGCACCTCCCCCAGTAGATCCACCTGAAGCAGGAGGTAAAACATTTAAGAATTACAAATTAGCAAGCAGGGTAGCATAGCTTGATCAGATGTATCAAAACAAAGTAATATAAAGGATGGCTCAAAACAACATTTCAGAGAAAGAAAAGCTACTGGAATGTCCAGATTAAGAAACTCAAAAGAAATGATAGTTAGGTGTCTTTTATGGATGAAGAAAAACACAGAAGAATTAAAAACATAATTATGCAAAACCAAACAGATAAAGTAAATGCAAAATCAAAGGGAATTAAAAACTATAAATGGAAATTTAATATTAAGACTAAAATTTCAGAAATAACACATTAAAAGGACAAAAGAGAAAAACTGAACGATTGAAAATGACTTAGTGAAAAAGAGGGCAAATTTTTTTAATATGTATCTATTAGAAGTGGGATAGAAAATGAAGAAAGCATAAAAATTATGTGGGACAACATCAAGAGGAACTATTCATGTGTGGTTGGAATTCAAGAACAGAAAGATTTTTTTTAAAAGCACAGAAGAAGTTAAAGATTGACTGAAGAGAAGGAAAATTGATGTCTTTGAGCTGTGGTGCTGGAGAAGAGTATTGAGGGTACCATGGGCTGCTAGAAAAACAAACAGATTCATCCTGGAAAGGGTTAAACCAGGCAGCTACCTGGAGGCAAGGATTCTGAGGCCCCATCTAACATACTCTGGACATGTTCTAAGGAGGGACCGGTCCTTGGAGAGGGACATCATGCTTGGGAGGGTGGAAGGACAGTGCAGAAGAGGAAGGCCCTCTATGAGGTGAATTGATTCAGTGACTGGGGTAATCGGGATGGGAGTGTCAGAGACAGTGTGATTGGCACAGGACAGAGCAGAGTTTAGGGCTGTTGTACATAGGGTTGCTATGAGTTGCAAGCGACTCGACGGCACATAAAAACAATAATATTATGAAAAAGGATAAAGTATTTATTAAAGAACTCAGCAAGCCCCAAATATGATAGATCTCCAAAAGAAAACCACCAAGGCATCATAATAAATTTTTTCCAAAATTAAAGACAAAGAAAGAATACTACAAGTAGCTCAGGAAAAACAAATCACCTACAAAGGAGAACCTGTAAAATTAAGCTCTGACTTCTCAACAGAGACCATGCCATCAAGAAGGCAACAGGCACTTGGAGCCACAATCAACACCAATGGGAGTCAGCACTCAAGAAATTAAGACATATTGCACTAGGAAAAATCTGTCAAGGACCTCTCCAAATAGTAAAGATCAAAGATGTAAATTTAAAGACTAAAGGTGCACCTGATACAAGTTATGGTATTTTCAATTGCTTGAATTTGGTATTTTCTATGCACCTGAAAGTTGGGCAAAAAATAAGGACAGAAAAATCAATGCTTTTGAATTGTGGTATTGGCATAGAGTACTAACCCATGGAATTGCCAAAAGAACAAACAAAACCGCGTTGGAGCAAATGCAGCCATGGTGCTTCTTAGAAGCAAGGACGGCAGTCAAGGAGACAGACTGACATAGCTACAGTTAACAATGGGCTTGAGCAAAAGATTGTGGGGATGGTCCGGGATAGGGAAGGTTTCAATGTGTCGTTCATATTAGCACAATGAGTCATAAACAACTTGATAGTACCTAACAATATATCCTGAATTAACATTAATTCAAATTATAATTGTTTGTTGTCGTTATGTGCTGTCGAGTCACCTGCGACTCATAGGGACCCTATGTACAACAGCCCTAAACTCTGCTCTGTCCTGTGACAACTGCACTGTCTCTGACACTCCCATCCCAATTACCCCGTCACTGAGTCAATCCACCTCATAGAGGGTCTTCCCCTCCTGCGCTGTCCCTCCAACCTCCCAAGCATGATGTCCCTCTCCAAGGACCTGTCCCTCCTTACAACATGTCCAAAGCATGCCACATGAAGCTTCAGAATCCTTGTCTCCAAGGAGCAGCCTGGTTTAACCCTCTCCAGCACAAACCTGTTAGTTCTATTATGATTATCACATTATAATCCCAAGATTCACTAACAAAGCAAGTGACTAATAACAGAATTGTGCTTCTCCTGTTCCTTACCCGCCCAATCTCACCTTCAAGTGCAGCAGCTCTCTTTTCTCTTTCTTCCTCTTCTGCTCTCTCCTGAAGCTTTTTTTTATATGCAGATGTCACAAATGCCTCTTTATCATCAAATTCTCCCTTTTCCATTTCTCGTTCTCTCTGAATTTTCTTCTCCATTCTTTTTTCTTGTTCCTTTTTCCTGATCTCAACTGCTTTTAATAAGTTGTGAATGTACTTGGGCTTAGAAGAGAGTAATTGTAAACTTCTATTATTTTAGCATCAATTTGTTAAACAGAAACTGCTAGCCAAATAGGTAGGACTACCATCTTCTCAAAATTCAAAAGAAATTAATGAAAATAAAACTAAAGTTGTTTCCAATAAAATTCAAATACAGAGAATAATTCTAGCTTTCCTAACTCTTTTCACAATTAAACAAGTAAGTGAATCAATGGAAAAGACTCACTGCTTTGAGTGGAAATATGGTTATTTGAAATAGTAGCTGTAATAAAACTCAGTATCACTACTCTACAACTAGCTTTTTGAACATGCAAAGATCTTTAAAAATCATTTTTAGAATTAAAGAATTAATTTCAATCCTCCACTCAATTTTTCAAACTGAAAATACAATTATGATGATTCAATTACTAGTTAGAAAACACTAACTGGGAAAAGAAAATATTAACAAACATAAACAGGAGACGTACCAATCTAGCACATAAAATTTTCTAACAATATTTACAAGTAATTAAAAATAAATACAACTTCTAAAATTCAACTGTCTCTAAGATTCTCCATATAGTGTCTCCTGCATTTTATATGCAATATTTGCAAGACTATTCTCATGCTGAAACAAGATTAAAGACACAAAATGCAGGTCAAAGTTGATATATTCACTAACCTTTCGATCTTTTCCCAACAGCAATTTGGGATTACTTTCTTCCTTTTTTTTCTGCATTTCATCATAAATACTGTCATATTCATACACAGTAGCATCTTCTGCGAGGGCCTTTTGGATTTCCAGTTTGGTCTTCAAAAAAATTAAAGATGCTTTAAAAATATGTATGTCAATAGAAAACACAAATCTATACAATTATTTATAAATTAGGTACATAAAATTAAATTTATTAGAAAGAATATAACAATCTTACTGAATGTCAATGTCTTGGAAAATTGTTTAATCTTTTCTAAAAATGAAGATAGTAGTTTTGCCTATTTTCCAAACATTTATGATAATGAAATGCTTTCATAAACTTAAAACCCTTAGAAACCTAACACACAGAAAGAAGGTGTTTAATAAGTTTAATTATTATCTATAGTTTATATATACAATCTACAATAACAAGTCAAAAGGTGCAAAGCATGACTTGAGATATATTAACCCTAGAAATACAACATTTTAGTGTTGAGTTGCCAAGTAAAATGTTTTCTTTTGTAATGTCTAATATAGGAAATACTGTATAAAATGCTCTCAATGTAAATAAAAACAAGAATATTTTGTAGCTTAGATTTTCACATAAGTCTACATAAATCTACATAATGTACAGGCAAAAACGGTGTTATTTGCAATAAAATATGGTAAATACAGTATTTTAGATCTTTAGTCTTACTGTTTATTATCTTCAGTCTTTTATATTCTTCCTCTTACCTAGAATTTCATGGGCAGCTCAAGCCCTACTTCGTAAAGAAGGCCTTCTCTAAAAACTGCAGTATTTAACTCTTAGTAGGCTTGATGTTGCAACTCTCTTGTTAAGAGTTCACAAATCTTAGCTTTTTCTCTCCAGCTTGCAAATTCCTGAAGTGTAATTATGGTTATGTGCCTGCCATCAAGTCAGAACAAACACATATCTGATCCTCTAGCAAATTTTCAGAGGTTACAAATCATACAGGAGGAGACTATCCATCTTTCTCCTATGAAGCGGCTGGTGAATTCAAACTGTGTGCCTCTGAGTTGGCAGTGCAACTACATATCACTAAACCACCAGAGGAATTCTTAAGTATAGTCTATGCACTTCAACTTGAAAACAAATAGCAAGTTCTACTAATAAGGATTAAGAAATCTAGACCTATGAATAAAATTAGATTGGGATGTTGTATTAGGTGTAGAAAAGGTAGCACAAAACTGTCAAAAGAACACTAGAAAATAAGAGACCTACATAACGTTGGAGAAGTTATCCTGCAAATCAAAGCTTCCTACAAAATCTTCAATAAACTGGACAGAGTAAAGTGAAGAACAAGTACCATTCATTTATATGGGAAACTTTTTTTAGCTTCTCAGACCCCCAAAACAGTCTACTGAATCACCAAATAACACATAAGACAATAAACATTTAACACTAACATGTAAACACACACACACACACACACACAGAGTTACAAGTCATGGCAGTGTGATGCTGAGTCCTAGGGGAGGAACTTGACAATACTACTCTAGCTGCCTAGCTGCTCAGGGTATGCAGTTGCCTCGTTAATTACACAAAATAAACACCAAACACAAATACAGATTTTCACCTCTTTTGGTGTAAAAGCAAAAATACCCTTTCATTTCTTTTGGTTAACAAAAACATGTACTGATGGAAGTCTTTTGTAAAAAGCAAACTGTTATAATGTGAACTTTTGAAAAGTGAGTTATTGGTATCTGATTCTCAAGCTAAATTCTTTCATCTACAGAATGAAGAAGTTGAATTTGAGAGTGCTCCAAAATGTACTAAACTCTAAAACTCAGATTCAAAACACTACAGTATTTATATTAAAGAGTAACTTATTTTTAAAATGTGTATTAAATAATTTTGAGGTTGCTGAATTACACATTATAGTCCTCCACACAACTCAGAACACATCTTAGAATAGCTAACTATACTCAGTAACAATTGCAAAGTTCAAAAGGACAGCAAACAAAATGCTGGTGAGGGGGCAGATAGATGTGAACGCTCATGCACTGCTGGCAGGAATGTAAAATGGTATAACTAACCACTATGAAACCCTGTGAGGTGCTTCCTCAAAAACTGGAAATAGAAATAACCACTTAATCCAGCTATTTCACTACTGGGAATATACCCCAAACAAATCAACATTGAGACATAAACAGATATATGCACATCCACGTTTATTGCAGCATTATTCACAACAGCAGATGGAAGCAGCCCAAGTGCCCATCTGAATGGGTAGAAGAACTAAGGCACAGCCACACAATGGAACGTAATACAGGATTAAAAACAATGAACTTCGGTTCGAATCCACCAGATGCTCTGCTGAAGAAGCAGGGACAATCTCCTCCTGTACCAGTCAGATCAGATTTGACAGTACACATACAAAAAAATAATAAAAATATTTTAAAAAACCCAAAAAACAATGAACTTGTCAAACACACAAAAGGTGGCTGAGTTTGTGCTGATTCAGTCACAAAAGGGCAAATACTGCATAAAACCCCTTTTGTAAGAACAGAACGGTGGGGGTAAGAGCAGGAAAAGCATGGATAGATAACACACACCTCAATGGAATAGGTGAAAGGAGGGCAATCTGAAAGGAATGAACAATTAAAAATTATGTGTATGACAATACACATAATCCTGCCTAGAACAGGACAAGTATTACAACAAAGGGAATTGGGGGGAGGGAGGAAAATGTGCATAAAAGAATGAATGAAAACCAATCTGTTTTTGTATACTTTCACACACACAAACAAAAAATTTGCAAAATTAAATAAACCCAAACACAAAATAATTGATTAAGTACTTCTGGGTCAAATATAGTATATTGGAAGATAAAAATACATATAAATATAGTATACTGGAAGATATAAATAAATATAAATATAGTATACTGGAAGATAGTATAAAAGAGTGACTAAAAATGGATTCCAGATTTCACTGCCTAGGTATGAACACAACTGTCATTTACTACGTGACCTTAAGTTATCTAAGTTCTTCTTGTCTTTATCTTTTTTTAAACTATAACATGGGATTATAAGCGCATCTATTTCATAGAACTTTTGAAAAAATTAAAGATACTTCTTAAAAAGTAATTAACACATTAAAATTATTAAAAAAAAGAAAAAAGTAACAGAAGATCTGACATATAGGAAATAATAAATTCTTTCTTATACTGGATCCTAGCTGGAGAAGGAAGAAACACATAATTAGAATGCTATAGTAGCTCTGAGAAGAATGGGAATCCCAGAACATTTGATTGTGCTTATGTGAAACTGAACCCTTGAAATAAGAGGCAGTCGTCAGAACAGAGGGAGACACTGTATGGTTCAAAATAAGGAAGGGGGTCCACCAGGGATGTATTCGTCTCCGTATCTTTTCAATCTGTATGGAGAACAGAACATCCAGGACACTGGAGGAGGAGGAAGATTCATCAACTACTTGTGTAATGCAGATGACACAACCTTGCTTGCTGAAATTGAGGAAGACCAGAAGTGCTTGCTGCAGAAGGTCAAGGACTGCAGCATTCAATATGGATTGAAGCTCAATATCAAGAAAACAAAGATTCTCACCACTGGGCCAGCTGGCAGCATCATTAGTCTGCTTGGCTCCACAATCAACACTCTTGGAACCAGCAGACAGGAAATCAAGAGACAATGCATTGGGAAAGTCAGCTGTCAGGGACCTCTCTAGAGTACTGAAGAGCAACGATGTCAAGCTGGAGACTAAGGTGAGCCTGATCCAGGCCATAGTCTTCACAATTGTGTGCTATGTGTCAGAGAGCTGGACAATGACTAGGGATAACAGAAAGAGAATGGATGCTTTTAGAGTTGTGGTGCTGGAGAAGAGTGTTGAATGTACCATGGACAGCTAAGAGAACAAACAGGTTTGTCCTGGAGAGGGTTAAACTAGGCTGCTCCTTGGAGTCAACAATTCTGAAGTTTCGTCGGACATACGTTGGGCAGATTGCAAGGAGGGACCAGTCCATGGAAAGGTACATTATGTTTGGGAGGGTGGAGGGACAGTGCAAGAGAGGAAGACCCTCAATGAGATGGATAGATTCAGTGACTGGGGTAATGGAGATAGTTGGGTTGGCACAGGATAGAGCAGGGTTTTAGGGCTCTTGTACATAATGTCGCTATAAGTCACAAGTGACTCGACAGCATGTAACAACAACACAAAAGCTAAATGAGCCTTGGTGAAGTAGTCTGTATGGTGTTGTGTCTCAAGAGGTTCGAATCTACCAGCTCGTCCACAAGAGAAAGACAAGCAATGTCTCCTCTAATTGCAATTTACAGCTTTGGAAAACGGACAGAAGGGTGCTATAAGTTGGTGCTAAATTGATGGCAATGCATGCATAAGTGATAGAAGCAAAATCTAAGACACTAGAATGATAGAAAAGATTAGAGAAAAGATTAAAGCCAATTACTATAATTAGTTGTGTGATGATGGGGATAACTTAGCCTTTTTTACGACTCTGATTTCTTAGTCAAGACCCTGAGGAGGTTTGTGAGAGCTTTGAAAACTAAAAAAACAAAAATCAGTAAAATCACTAACAGGAATCAGTAAGTCAAATAAATGCAAAAGCCATTATCTGAAAGGCAGAAATGGTTTCATCTATAGAACAGCAATTCTTCATTCCACTTTTTCTATTAGAATGTATATTACAATCTATGTAAAATATCAAGAAAAATTCTTACACTTTTAGTGACTAAAATGATCTCTTTATATACACCTAGTCTTGCTTGCACCAAGATATCAAAAGTAACACTTCAAACTGTGAGCCAAAAATCATCAAATGCATCTAACTCACTCTTGACCCTTACCTGTTTCATTGCTTGCTTTTTAGCAGCTTCCCTCTGAAGGCTTTCACTTACAGAAGTCTATAAAACAAACAAACAAAATGTTGTCATTTCTTCAGATCATGAGAAAATAAAACAAACTTTTTTAGTATTCAAGTTGGCAGTTTGTTCTTCAGGATAGCCAAGAGTAAAAAGGTAGTATGAATTAAATTAACATTTTCAAGATCACTCTCCTAAATTTCAGGAGAGAAATGAATTCATTTTCTTTGTAATTCTTACAGAGTAGATAAAACAATGGTGCAAGAAAGAACGATGACCATAAACTGAGTTTCAAAAAAAGAAAAAGACTAGGACATGGGTTTTCAGTCCTCACCTCACCTCATTCAATAATTGTGGATTTCCATTCACCTTGTGTACAAATGTGAACAGCAGTGAATTAGACTAGATATTTCAGGTATCTTCCATTATTTACATAGTATTTTCAGTGACAAAAGTTTATTTCAATATTCCATCACTGAATATTGACTATAGCCAATACAGAATACTGAATATAGTCAAGCTCATGGTAAATGCTTTACAACTTCTGTTTTGGGGTTGATTCCAATACACAGCAAGCCTATGTGATAGAGCAGCAGTTAAGTATATTTGATTATAAGCTGGCTGATCCAAACTCATTCATAAAGTCCTTAAGACAGGCCTGGTGATTTGCTTCAGAAAGGTAAGTCTTAAGAATCACATGGAACAGTTTAACCTGTACACACCAGGTTGCCATGAGTTGGAACTGACATGGACACCACAACAACAGAGTAAGAGATGCTGATTAATAAAACCAACAATACTAGCTAACACTTGTTGAGTCAGATGACATGTTAAGCAAGCCCTACGTATTTATTAGGGAGTTCTACTGGTCTAGTGATAAGGAGCTGCATTGCCACTCCAAAGGCACAGGTTCAAATCCACCAGCTACTCTACAGAAGAAAGATGGGCAATATCCTCCTGTGTGATTTACTGCCTCTAAAAATCCGCTGGAGGGACAGCTATCAGTTGGTTCCAACTTGATAGTACCAAACAACAACATGTACTTATTACTCATTTAATAAAAATGTCCAATATATATAACACTTTAATGCATTGTAATACCAATTTAAAAGATTAAATATGTTAATAAGCAAGTGTCAAAATTTTTCCAGTGTATTTTTATTTCTTTCAATTGGTATATTTTTCCTTGATCATTCAGTTAATCATGTGCATGTAGCACCATGCTATTTTACGACATGAACAGTACCAAAACCAAGATACTTAACTGTACCAACATCATTGCACCCTGAAGTGCTACTCTTTTACTTCCTTACACACTTTTCTCCCACACCTGAATCCCTGGCAACCATTAATCTGTTTTTTATTCCTACAATTATGCTATTTCACAAATATGAAATAAACAGCATTATGTTGTATGTAACCTCAAGACTGTTGGGTTTTCTTTTCCCCTGATGGCCTAATGGTAAGAAGCTGCGCTGCAATCCCACATACATGCTGTTTGTATCCGCCAAAAACTCCATGGGAGAAGGATGGGTAATCTCATCCCACAGGATTAACTGTCTCTGAAAATCCTGCTGGAGTGTTGGCTGTGTGTTGGTTCCAACTAGACAGCATACTTTTAAAGGGACATATTTTGCTTGATACAGATGTTACAAAATATTTCAGTCTTTGTAAAAAAATCCTTTCTAGAGGTAAGTTAAAGGAAGAATAAAAAAACATTAAATGTGACCCCCAAAATATTTAACACAGTCATTCATTTAATAGTTATAAAATTATCTGGCAGATAATTAACCTATGAACAATAGTTCACTGTACAACATTAGATATTTTCTAATGTAATGCCAAATTACCATTAGTTTTAAATTCAGGAAGACAGAAATTACCCCTTGGAAGGACTTTTACTTTTTAAAAGTACCACACCTGGGAAATATACCCAAGATTGGAAACACAATACTGATAAAGTACAACTTTTTAAAAAAGATAATGAACAAAAAACTGATTTCATTTGTAATTAGTTTCAAATACCACAGTGATATTTTAGAACTGGAAGATAATTTATAGTGTCATCTCTATATGGTACTTCCTTAAAGACTAACCTTTGATTCCAAAGCAGTTTCAATAGAAACTTCAAGAGTTTTGCTTTTACCTTTCAAGAAAGAGATATGAACCTATTCCACATCTACTAAGAAAGGCCCCAAATTGTTAAATCAAGTTTGATTAAAAAGTCTAAAAGAGCAGACTCATCTTACTCTATAGGCAACATTTACAACTAAGCTGTATTATATTATTAAGTCTAGTACAACCACAGTAACAATGGAGCAAAGCAAGACAGCACAGCATCAGACTCAAGTATTAGAAACTGAGAAGTTATCCTCTACAGACCAATACATGATGATGGTCAACCCTAAGCTGTAATAACAAATTAGCTTTCACCATTATGGAACATCAGATTCCATACAAGAATCCTGATGAAAAGGGAGGAAATGTGAAACAAAAATCCAAATTCTCATGGACTTTAGAGTTTCTAGAGCCATGAAAAGCTGTTGAACTCCTAAAACTATTAGACAAAGGTAATCTTTAAACCTTAAACCAAAAGCATTCTGTGAAATCATCTCAAAATTCAACAGCAGCTGAAACTAGTAAATAGGTCTGCATTGAGCATTGGGCTATTTAAAAAATATCTACTTGGGATCAGATTGAAATCAGCAATTACGAAGATTAGATAAAAATCTTAAGAAGCAGTGAATTTATGTTAACGGGAAGAACAATTTAGAAATGAAGGGTAAGAATGCTGCACAACTCTTAGAATGTAATCACTGTTACTAGATAGCACATGTAAATATCTGTATTGGTCCTTTTGTTGTATATTTTCAATAATAAAATTAAAGCTTTAATAGTTAAAAAAAGACAAAACAAATTAGCTTTTAAAAGTTGTTTATTTCTCTCTTAGATTACTGTTTGCTCTGGCAAAGTTTTTCAGGTAAACTTCAACGAAAGCATATTTGCCAGAATAAACATACTTTTCTTTCAATTATAATTTACTTCATTAATGAAAGGAAAACTAATTTATTCCACATAGAAATAGAAATTTGTCCTATAAAGAAACATCCATCATTAACATGCTGGTAATAACTAGCACAATCAAATTCAAAGGTCTTATAACTGATCTCACACAAACCAAATTTTATGAAAGATACTTGATTTTCTATA